GAAACATGCCAATTGGTCAGCATAGGCTTATGAGAAGGTTTATAAAGGAAGCCCATCAGCTGCACCCTGCTTTTAAGCCTCTAGCATGCCTCCTGCAATTTGCCCATCATTTCAGAGGCTCTCAGGGCTCCTTTGAAGTGTTCTGACTTGAAGGCACATTCTCTCAAAATTATCTTTTTTGCTGGCTTTCTCAGAAGCAAAAAGGATGTGTGAACTACATGTTGTATCTGCCATAATTCCTGTTTGAAGTTTTCGAATCACTATAGCTACAGTTAGCCTGCTTATATATGCCCCACTCTTGGGGGGTACTGGCTTTTCTCCCCAGCTGTTTGTTGATGAGAGTAGCTTAATTCACTTTGTTATGTACAGCCTTTGTGCATCCAGTTGGATTGGAAAGAAAAGAAAAGAAAAGAAAAGGAGAAAAAAGGAAAGCAGCTCTTTGTTTCCCAGGTTCCCACTCATTGAGGGAAGCTTCTTACCTTACAGTGGTCAACACAATGGGTGGTGGAGGCTATTATGTTGGCACATTACTGCCAAGGACTGAAGTCTCCTACACGCGCAATGCCCCAGACGTGCAGCTAGCGTATGGGCCCCTTTTCTGTGAAGGATATCTAAGCAGCTGCTGACTGGCCATGGCTACAGATGTTTATTAGGATCTACCAGCTGGATATGCCTGCTCCTTGGAACACTCAGTCCTTAGTATGGGCGCTTAAGGTCTCATTTATGCCACTGTGTTGGTAGGGTGCATTATAAACCTGAGCAGAGCTTTTTAGATCCATGTCTACATCTCCACTTAGTGTCAAAAATACATGCAACAACCAGTAACGTGTGCATTTTCTGCTCGTGTTTGTGTTTTTATTGCTTCTTTCGTTTTGCCACTGACAGAAGTCATATCATGAAAAGGTCTTTGCAATGTAGTGAGTGATAGAAACACTTAAAAATGTCTACTTCTGTCACCACCTTGGTTATGCACATTTGGCTTATTGGAGACCAGCATACAGATATGTCTTTGTAGTCTTTGTATTGCTTGAAATCACATCAGTTCCTCTCACTGTGAAAGCTATATGAATGACAACAATGTAACCAACTTTCCTAGGCTGTAGTGTTTTGGTCAGGTAGATTTTCTGTAAACAAGGTTTGAAATGAAATGTTTAGTCACTACGGTGTCCAATATACATTTATACACACATGCCCACTTCATATTCATACCTATCAAGAGTGCAAGAATACATTTAGCAAGTGTTTAAATTACATAGTCTCTCCAGCATAGTGGTAAACTAACAATATTGTACGGCACAGAGTCACTTCCTTCCCCTGTGCCTGGAGTGGCCTTTGTCTTTCAATGTCCAAGGTCACACAGATCTATGCAGGCCCCCCTCTGACAGTAATTACATATAGCCTCCGGAGAGGAAGCAACATGCACAAGGAAAATAGGGGGGTGAAAAAGACACAGCAGTACAAAGCAGAGAGATGTGTGTGTGTCTGTGTGTACTGGGAGAGGTGGGGGGCATGAAACAATGAGCGATAAAGACCCTTAAAATAAACTGAGGATTAAAGAGCTTCTCGCTCAAGCTTCTTGGTGACTTGGAAAACCACTCCTAACGTGAAATTAATCGCTTATCGAGTCTGTGTAAAGATTTTCATATACTGAAAAGCAGAGAGAGAAAAAACAAGCCCTTATATCCTTATTTAATTATAAATGGGAATAATTAAAATGGGAAAAGGGGTAAAATACAGTGCAGATACAGAGGGGCCCAGGAGAATAAAAGGAATTATAAACCAAATTTCCTTCGTTTATGGAAAAAAAAAAAAAATCTATATTATATACACACACACATTTTTTAAAAGTACAGCAACAGCTGTGAAAGCTTTTCAATACCCGCTGATCACAGTAGACCACAATAAATAAATAAATACATTCCATCCTATTAGATAACCACAACTCCCACAGGGTTAATGGTTTGGAAACTGCATCTAAATATTAATGACTGTAACCCGACCGATTATGTGTGTGTGTGTGTGTGTGTGTGTGTGTTCTCTCTGTGTTCTCTTTCTTTATCTTTTTAATACATGCATCATCTTCTCATTATATTGGACTTAAAACATCTTTTTCTGCCCGACTGTTCATTGGTATTAATATCTACACTACTGCTAAATACTAAAGTCCTACTAGTCAAAGTCAAAGTCATGTTGTTTTACAGCCCCTGTTATAAAAACGTGTGTGAATGGATTGGAATGTCAGGTATACTACTATGTTAAATTTTAAATACATCTGTTGGTATATATAAATTCAACTCAGTGTTTACTCATCTGGTTAATTCCTGTTTCATATGACCTTACTTGACACATGTTATTACCTATAGATTGGAATCAGGGCAGTAGTGAGCACATATGTAGAAAAAAGCCTGCTATTCCAGATGTTTTCAGACATTGATAGTGGGACAGATGCTATAATCAGTCTTTCACTTATGCATTTATGTTAGGTGGTATGTTGTCATCAGTTGCAATCACAAGACTATTAAAAAATTCTGCCTCCACTTCCAAGCTTATCTGAGTATATAAAAGTCCTTTTCGGAAAATTTTTTGGGGTGGAGGTGGGGGCATGTAATGATAAAGCACTCAGCTTGTATGATTTTACAGGCCCTAACACTTTGATGTTCTCTTCAAGAGGTTGGTATGACTTAATGTAGCTTTGAGGGAGCGTCAGCGAAAATGAAAGAAACCAAGGGAGAAAAGGAGATGGAGGAAGGAGGGGAGGGGCAAACAACATGAAGGAGAGGGAGATGAGGAGAGGAAAGCAGAGGGTGAAGACCGGTCAGGTTTTTCTTCCCTGCTGAGAATAACTTTTTTTTTTTTTAAAGTAGCACGTAAGTCTCTTGGTAGAAGAACACGAGCCAATTAAGAGGGAAATAAATAAATTAAAAAAAGCCCCAGCACTGCTGGATCATCTAAAAATCAAGCCTTTATATGAGAAAAGATTAAATAACTCACAGCTCCCCTGTCAAAATGCACCGAGAGCAGCAATGTTTAAAAAAAAATGCAGATTGTGTACAATTTCTTTAAATGCAACACTTTAGATTCTACCCCGTAAAAAAACGTTGAAGTTGTAAATACCTTACATCTTCCATTTCCCCAGGCTCGTTTATAGGTATAAAGAACTTATGAGAAATATGCTAAAAATCAATAAAAATGCTTTGATTTGCTCTTTTATGTGTAGCTTGAGTACATTCTGTTTCCCACAAGACCATGAACTCCTACTCAGTTTTAGATATTGTGTAATATATTTTTGCTTCTATCCCACCCCACCCAACTGAAAATAAAGGATGCTGAAAGCATTAACCCTAGTTTCAGGTTTATGTGCCATGTATCATATATTTCAGCATCTTCACAGAGACACCCAATTCAGATCAGTGATAAAAAAAACCCCCAAAAACAACTCACTCAACCTGAACATCAGTCCTGACTTGCAGGAAAGTGAAGCTGAAGTAGCCAGAGGCAGTGAAAAGGCTTTAGATTTGAATCTACAACTGATAGAAAAAAGTGTTGAGCGCATGTCACAATACCGGAAGCTTTCAATGTACAGAAAGGTTATACAAACAATTGTGAGCTAAATGTTTTTCACAGTCATAAATGATTGGATTATTAAGATGTGTGTGATGCTTAGGCTTAGACTGGCAGTAAATGAAGGCAAATTAATTAATGATGACAGCGAGGCAAATTAAAAGGTGGCCAAAGTCAATTTCATGGCCTCTACCAGGCGACTGCCAGTGAAGACAGATGTGGGGGGCGGCAGAGAAAGAGAAAGACCTCAGAATCCTGAGTTGCTCCTACAAATTGGCAGACGATGAAGGGATAGTGATTGGCATAAAGGATTCAGATCTGTTCCAGCTAGTTCGTCAATGCAGCTTTTAATGTATTTGCATGTTTCTAAATGCAAAATTGTGTCAAGGCAATAATTAAAGCTACATAGACAGAATTTAAAATACACAACCCACCCCTGAAGCGCTCTTCCCTCTATTCTAAACCCTTCAAAGCAGATAAGCACATACTTACATATTTCAAGCCCTTTTTGTGTTTTGATTTGGATCATTATGGCTTATACCTCATTGTAGCCCAAAAAAATGAACTTTTTTGAGATGCACAAAGACAAGTGCCGCGTTTCATATGAACTAAAACAAATTCCATGTTGGCTTCCCACAAGACTTGCTCATCCAATTGAGCATGTATGCCTTACTTCCTACTCAGACTTTTGTGTACACACTACTCATCTGATCTGATCTCAAGAGTTCTATGATTGGCTGGATTTTCTAAAGCCCAAAATCAAAGGCCAGCAGAAGTGCTGGAGTCTAGTCCCCCCCACATTGCTTCACGGTGGATCATTATAGACAAACCACAAAAATTTCAAACAGATTGCCTATCCGAGCTTTAAATGGCAAACTTTTTGTTATCATAGAGAGAGTAGATTAAATTGTAAGACTCCATTTGACTTAAAAAAAAAAACTGCAAACATCAATGGTGACAGGAGGGGATGTGGTGATTTATTCCTATCATTTAGTAGTAATAATAAGCGGGACGTCCTTTGTTTTGTCTCCTGGTGGGAGGGATGCTGCAGCAGGGGATGAGCCGAATGTCTGAGTAGTAGAGATAATTGTCATTCATAAAGTCAGTCTGGTGTTAAAAGGGAATAAAATGCAAAGTCCTTGCTTGCCACCGCTGTTGGGAGCTGGTGTAGATAGTGGTATTTAGTGTGAAGCTGCAAAAGCTGACAGAAAAAATATGCAGCTTGAAGTAAAACAGCATGTTTATAAAGCAATTTCAACTTTTCTAAACTAATTCTCATTGGTTACTCTATCAAATTTTATATTCACTGGAGTCTGTTTGTCTGGTTTTGCAAGCTGCCTCTTTAGGCCAACTCGAAAATTATATATTTGGAAAACTAAGTGAACAAAAATGAATTTTCACGCACTCCCTCGCTCATGCACACGACCATCTCGAGGTACCTGTCTCTACATCCTGGGCGTAGAAGTGCAGGGTGTCGGTGATTTCAGTGACATAGACTGGTTTGTAGTTTGCCACGCGCTCCTTCTCCTCTGAAAGATGCACGACCTCCTCCACTGGTTTCTCCTCATAATTGGCCCAGATCTACAACACATACAAGGAGTAAAAAATGTGTTAAAAAAGACATGTCAATGCAACACAAACATGGAGATCAGATAGGTCAAGCTTAATGTGCCAAACATTTTTCAGGGATAGAAATTCATACAATGAGAATTCATACATGCTGCACTAGTGATTTAAGATTTATAACAGCATGAGACTACTGAATGAGACTGGAATGTCATGCTGACATACCCGGTCTTGGTGGCATATTGCACAAGCAACAGCAAAGCAACATTCGTTTTCACTAATTATTTTTGGTCCAATTTCAAACCCTTGATGCTGCCAGCATATGGGACAGTCCATCACTCCTATGACAGATTTCTGACCTCACATAATACTACAAAGATGTTTCTGGACACAGATATTTACAAAGATCTTCCTCACGTCTTCCAGCAGTTGTTTTAGGGCAGGG